TCGACCACAGCCCTTACAGTGCTTTCTTACATACCCCGACTTGGGAATGCTCCTAAACCCGACACCCTACATCCTGAACCCTAAAATCCGAACCCTAAACCCACAACCCTACACCCTTCCCTACACCCTAAACCCTAAACCCTAAACCCTAAACCCTAAACCCTAAACCCTAAACCCTAAACCCTACACCCTTTCCTAAACCATAGTTCCCAGGCCTGGACAAGCCATACCGATCCTCCGTAGTAGTCAATGTTCCGGCGCCTTGGCTTGGGGTTTAGAACATGGGCTTTTGACATCTTCGGGGTTTAGGGTTTAGGGTTTAGGGTTTAGGGTTTAGGGTTTAGGCTTTGTAGCGTTGATATCGTTGGCTGAGGGTCTGTACCCCTGAGTCGAAGCCCAGATGGCCCGCTCGTGTGGTTGTTTTTGGCATGCCGAAACCGCAGCCCCGTGTCTTAAAGCTCAGAGTCTCAAACCCCCCTAAGCCGTTAACCCTAAATCCTAAACCCTAAACCCCAAACCCTAAGTCCTTAACCCTTAACCCGAAAGCCGAAAGCCTTGGTTCGTGTTTGGGGCTTAACTGAAATGCGAGGGCTGGACAACACTGAGACCTCGACATACCTTGACATAAACCAAAGCAAGTTAGGGACTTGGGGTTGAGGATTTCGGTCCAGGGTGTAGGGTTTAGAGTCGGGGGTCAGGGTCTACGTCAGGATTGTTGGGCTTTTTTGAAGAAGGGTCCTGCAAAGACTGCTGTCCTCTTCACCAGCCCCTTTCTGACATTCCATGCACTTTCCGCGAGTGTATGGTTTGGGGCTTCTAGTACTCGGGCTTAGGAGCTTGGGATTATCAGGGTAGAATTATCGTTTGGGATGTTCCCCCCTGACACTAGCAGTCCTTCATGGGGATTCTAGTCACCCCGATTACAATCCCGATTAAGGACTCGGAACATCCCAGATCATCGTTGTCATAAGGACCTTGAGTTGGGTAGAGACAACTCGAAGTCTTGTAGCTTCTTGTTGGGGTTTCGGGTTTAGGGGTTAGGGGTTTAGGGGTTTAGGGGTTTAGGGGTTTAGGGGTTTAGGGGTTTAGGGGTTTAGGGGTTTAGGGGTTTAGGGGTTTAGGGGTTTAGGGTTTAGGGTTTCGGGTGGCCCCGCCCACTCTTGTGAGCTCGTACAGCTCACATGTCTCTGCCTTTGCTCTGCGCTGAGCCCGAAGCTCAACCCCAAAGAGACTCGCAGGTTCCCGAAGACCCCCGAGTCAGGCATTCCGGGAGAAGTCCTATAACCCCTATACTCATATTCAACCCGAAAACCCTAAACCCTAAACCCTAAACCCTAAACCCTAAACCCTAAACCCTAAACCCTAAACCCTAAACCCTAAACCCTAAACCCTAAACCCTAAACCCTAGCCCTAAACCCTAAACCTAAGGTTGCCCTCAAGCCGACTTTGGGTGTCAGTGGTTTCCCGGTCATGTTAATAAGCCCTAAGCCCTGAGCCCTAAGCCCTAAACCCTAAACCCTAAACCTTATGCCTTAAACCCTAAACCCTAAACCGTAAGCCTGAAACCTTAAACCTTAAACCCTACCCTGAACCTTAAGCCCTAGGCCGTTTGAGGGCTTGTAGGGTTCATCGAGTGGTGTTCGGGGATGGGAGGCTTATGGGGTTTGGGGCTTCATGTCCAGAGTAACCCTAAACTCTAAACCCGAAACCGTAAACCCTAAACCCCTAAACCCCTAAACCCCTAGACCCCTAAACCCCTAAACCCCTAAACCCCTAAACCCCTAACCCCTAAACCCTAAACCCTAAACCCTAAACCCTAAACCCTAAACCCTAAACCCTAGACCCTAGACCCTAGACCCTAAACCCTAACCCTAAACCCTAAACCCTAGCCCTAAACCCTAAACTCTAGAAGCCCTAAGAGCCTTTGAGACCTGAGTTCGGGGGGAGGCGAAGACCACGCCGACCACCACCACCACTCAGCCGCCAGGTGCCTCGCGAACCTGGGCCCTCCAGACCCTAACTGCTTAGGGTTTAGGGTTTTAGGGTTTAGGGTGTATAGGGTTTAGGGTTTAGGGTTAGGGTTTAGGGTTTAGAGGTTAAGGTTTTTAGGGTTTTTAGGGTTTTTAGGGGTGTTCGGGTGTTAGGGTTTTAGGGGTACGCTCTAAATCCCAACCCCCAAAACCCTAAACCACACAAGCTGCTCTAAAACCTTAACTCCCCCAAACCCCAAACCCCAAACCCTAAATCCAAAAAATCCCCCAACCCCCAAAAACCCTTAAAACCCTAAACCATCAACCATAAATAACCCCAACCCCCGTCAAAAAAACAACCCTGAAGCCCTAAACCCCAAAGACAAGCGCTAGAGGACGGGCATTTGGGTACTTCCAAAGATAGGGTACCCCTTTTATACCCCAAATAGAAGAGATCCCCTTAAAGGGACCCCCCCCCCCCCCCATTTGTAGTCCCCGAGTTAAGTCGATGAACTCGGGTGGCTTCTTGCGCGTGGGGCATGTTGAGATTTTGAGGGGAAATATTTTGGGGCTTCAGAGCAGCCCTAAGCCCTAAAAGCTAAGCCCTACACCCTAAAGCTAAACACTAAACCCTAGCCCTGAACCCTAACCCTAAGCCCTCAACAGCTTGATTTTGTTTGATTTTGCTTAGCAGCCCGACTCATTCGAGCTTCCACAACCCCTCTCAATACCCGTACCATCATATGTACTACCGCACCCCTTGTGCCTGGGATCTTCCTTCCTGAGTTGAAGTTTGAAGGCACTTTACCTAATTCCTCGACCCTGCAGGGTTTAGGTTTAGGGTTGTGGGGTTTTGGGGTTTGGGGTGTAGGGTTTAGGGTTTAGGGTTTAGGGTTTAGGGTTTAGGGTTTAGGGTTTAGGGTTTAGGGTTTACAAGCCCTATGTCCTCAACTCGAATCCCGACACCTTGAGCCTTGCCAATCCTCAGGGACGACGGCAACAACCGTGCGGACACCCGGGCTTTGGGAGTTTGGCCTTGAGGAATTGGGCTTTTGCAAGAAGAAGAGTGTTTGTGGTGCTTCAATTGTGATATAATCCCCTTCTACTAACAGTTCTTAGTAGGGATTATAGTAGGGGGTACTCTAATCCCTATTCAGGACTGTTACAAGATATCATCATGGAGGAAGCGCCTAGTGCGCCCGTGCGATGAAGGGATGTCGCATGTTCACCGTCCAAACCATCAGAATTGAACCTTTCACAACATTTCATCGAGTCGAGGGGACTCCGGGAAGTTGGCTGAAACCCTTAGCCCTAAACCCTAAACCCTAAACCCGAACCCTAAACCCTGAACCCTAAACCCTAAACCCTAAACCTAAACCCTAAACCCTAAACCCTAAGTGCGGAACTAGGCCCTCGACATCCGTAAGATCAAAGTATCTGAGGTCAACATAGCGCAGATGGTGGCTGCTGCCAAGGCAGTTGGGCTGCAGAGTCGGCTTAGGGCCTTTAAATGTGGATTTAGGGTTTAGGGTTTAGGGTTTAGGGTCCCAAGTCTAGGGCTTAGGGGTTAAGGGTTTAGGGTTAAAGAATCGGGATGTTCCTCCTTATATTTACTAACAGTCCTTAATCAGGAGTATAGTACCGCATATTATAGTCCCTATTCAGGACTGCTAGTATAAGGGGGAACATCGCAATGGCTTAAGGGGGTCTTGCATTTTGGGTAATGGGCGAAGATTTCCATGGAGTTTAGGGTTTCTAGGGACTAGGTGTGGCAACTTAAGACCTGACGTTGCCCCTTTTTTTGGGGTTAGGTTCCCTTTTCCGCACCTTCAAACCAAGAAGAGCACCCCGTCTTGCTTCGCAGGCTACTCTGGGGCTTAGTCCTAAACCCTAACCCTAAGCCCTAAGCCCTAAGCCCTAAACCCTAACCCTAAACTTTCAGGGCTTTTGGCTTCGAAGTGTTGATGATAGCTTCCGGAGTTTGCTCTCAGGGCTTCGGGCTCTGCATTAGTCAAGATGGCTTGTTCCTACACGCTGAGGCCTCCCGCCCTTTGGGGCCGTAGGCCTTGACGATACCCGAACTCTTAGTTCAGCTCTTGGTTTTTTACACCCTAAGATCAATGCCCTAATCCCTAAAACCCCAAAACCCTACAACCCTGAAAGCCTAAACCTTAAACCTTTTGTTTTTCGGACTCAACTTCATCAGCCCTATGCCATATGTCCCGATGCCACTTGGAAACCCTTGCAAATCCACCACCTTTCAACCCTAAACCCGAAACTCCAAACCCTAGACCCCACTTCTCTAATTTTGGCCCCTGTTTGGGTCACTAGCAAAAGGCGGCCCCCGAATATTGAGGGTAGGGTAACCCCAAAAGGATCATAATATTGAGAACTGGTTATGTGTTATGCGCAGCTACATGCCAGTTGGGCCCGTTTGACTCTGCTTACGAGCCTAATCCTGAGCACATCTTAACACCCTAGACCCGAAACCAGAAGCCCCTGAAAGCTACTAAACCCTAAACCCCCTAGAGGCCCTAAACCCCCTAAACCCCCTAAACCCTAAGCCCTATACAAATATAGGGCCTTGATATCCCTTCCCGTAAAAACGAGGCAGCAGCTGAGGAAGCGCGCGATGCAGCAGCGGCGGCAGCCAAGAGGGCGCGGTTGCAATAACCCTAAACCCTAAACCCTAACCCCTAAACCCGAACCCCTAAACCCTAAACCCTAAACCCGAAACCCTAAACCCTAAACCCTAAACCCTAAACCCCCGAAACCCTAAATCTCAAGGGGAGGCTTAGGGTTGAAGGGTGTTCTGGGGTGCCAACTCCTGGCACGAGAGTTGGTTCGCGAATATTCGGCCTCTGCACTGCAGGCTTCTTCAGGACCTAACCCTAAACCCTAAACCCTAAACCCCAAACCCATCTTTTTCTGTGAGGTCCTCCTGAGGCGCAACCCTAAACTCCCTAAACCCTGAACTATGGGGCTTTAGGGTTCGGGGCTGAGGGATTCGGTGAACCTTTACGTTGGAAG